AAAAATTTAAATTTTTATTGCGTTGACTCTTGAAATCTTATCATTGTCATATGAATTTGAACAAATTATATATTATTAAAAGTTACATAAAAGATGCTATAAATCACAATAATTAGCAATTAAAAATATTTTTAAATCATATAAGAAATTTGGTTGACTAATTGGAATAGAATAAGTAACATGTACTATTTGAAAATAACGTCAAAATTTCTAGAATTCACAATAAATTAACAACTGAAAATATTTATGATTATTCACGTGAATTGAAACATGAGTAACCTATATTATTCAAAACTAACGCAAAAATACTATAAATCACAACAATTTAATAACTTCAAATATATTTTCCATTTATATCACATAAATTAAAACAAAAAAAATTAATATTTTATTGGGTCCGTGCTGGCACGGGCACCAAATATCTATATATATGTGTCACAAATGGAAAAGTCTCAATCAAGGAAGCAACATATATCATTTACAAATGACTTAAAAAGCTTTAAAATATTTAAAAGCTATATAATACAATACGTTGACGCTCAGAATTCTATTAGACTCACATATATTGGAACATAAAAAATAACACATATCATTTTAAAATTACCAAAAAAGTATTATAAATAATAATAACTAACAACCTAAAATATCTGAAAGACATTTTAAAAGGGTTAATTTTGTAATTTTATCCATATCACATAAATTATGACAAAGTGACTAGTAATGCACGTTATTTGAAAGTTACATAAAATGATCATAAATCACAATAATTAATAACTTAAAACATTATTTTTTTAAATATGAAAATTTAGATGACTCTCCAAATTTCATTTGTGTCACATAAATTGAGACAACAAAAATAACATATATTGGGTCCATTTTAATTTATTTGTCTTATTTTTAATTTTTTTTTATATTTAAAAATTGCGTAAAAATACTATAAATCATGATAATTGACAATATAAAATATGTTTTGAAAAAAATATAAAAAATTCCACTGATTTTTGAAGTGAATCTATCGTTAAAATACTATAAATCATGATAATTGACAATATAAAATATGTTTTGAAAAAAATATAAAAAATTCCACTGATTTTTGAAGTGAATCTATCGTTAAAATACTATAAATCATGATAATTGACAATATAAAATATGTTTTGAAAAAAATATAAAAAATTCCACTGATTTTTGAAGTGAATCTATCGTTAAAATACTATAAATCATGATAATTGACAACATAAAATATTTCAAAAATGTTGTATGTGGGTAATCTTATTATGCCTTAAATAGCGTCAAAGAAAGTACATGTTTGTGATAAAAAGACTTATTCCTTTATCCACGCAAACAATCGATTCAAAAATTCGATTATTAGCCCCCAAAACATACTATTTATATATAACACAGGCCACAATATCTGGTACATACAATACACAGCAATACAGTAACCCCCCTCCCCCCGTATGTCTTCTTCTTCCATACACATCAGTCCGGCAAACCCGAAAAAAGACGCGATATCGGCGCCTGCAGCAGCCATCACTTCGCCGTCTCTTTTTTCCCCTTTTCGCGGATATTCAGAGCAACAACAACTCCCCATTTCTGTAAGTGGAGTTAGCTTTTTCTTGATTTCTTTGTGGCATTTTATCAAACACATAGTGGATGGTAATAAAGCCCACTCTTTCAAGCTAAACACACCTACAAAATACTTATAATTGTCAACAATATTACTAATTCTTGCACAGAGAATTAATGTGGAGTTGTCATCACCATCTACTTTGCTTTTGTGGTTATGTCTTTGATTAGAAAATGCATAAGAACTGAACCATCATCCTTTACGGTTCTAAATCTGTTGAGAGAGAGCAGAGGCATAAAGCACCTTGAACAAGTTCATACCCACATAATACAAAAGGGTTATGAGCAAGACCATTTTATCATTAACCAGTTTATATCCCTCTGTAATGTGTTTTCGTATGATATATCTTATGCTACAAGTGTGTTTGAGCATGTTATTCAGCCTAATGTTTATGTATGGAATACATTGATTAAAGGGTATAGCAAAAAATCATCTCTTGTTGATTGTTTCGTAGTCTTGAGACAAATGAGAAGAAGTGTGAATGTGAAACCTGATGAATTTACTTTTCCATCATTGGTCAAATCTTGTTCTAATGTGTTTGCTTTGAGGGAAGGTAAGATTATTCATGGGTTGTTAGTGAGATTTGGGATTGATAGTGATGTGTTTGTAGGATCTAGTTTGATTGATCTTTATGGGAAGTGCAAAGAGATTGAATATGCACGAAGAATCTTTGATGAAATTCCTCTAAAGAATGAGGTTATATGGACTGCGATGATCGTTGGATATGTATATGTTGGTGATTTATTAGAAGCAAGGAAGTTATTCAATGAAATGCCACAGAGAAATGTAGCTTCGGGGAATGCAATGATTAGGGCATTCGTGAAGTTTGGTGATTTGTCCGGTGCGAAGAAATTGTTTGATAGTATGCCTTGTAAGGATGTGGTATCTTTTACTACTATGATTGATGGTTATGCTAAGGCTGGTGACATGGCATCAGCGAGGTTTCTGTTTGATAGGTCTTCTGATAGAGACATAATTTTGTGGTCTGCTTTGATGTCTGGGTATGCTCAGAACGGGCAACCCAATGAAGCTGTCAAAATATTTCACGAGATGTTGTCAATGAATGTTAGGCCAGATGAGTTTATAATGGTAAGTTTGATGTGTGCCTGTTCCCAGTTAGGTCGTCTGGACCTAGCAAATTGGGTAGAACATTATATGAGCCAAAATTCTTTTGATCTTAATCAAGTACATATAGCTTCAGCCCTTGTGGATATGAATGCTAAGTGTGGGAATATGGAAAGGGCAAAAATGTTGTTTGAGGGGATGCCTAAGCGTGATCTAGTATCATATTGTTCAATGATACAAGGGCTGTCTATTCATGGTTGCGGTTCTCAGGCTGTAGATTTCTTTGATAGGATGCTGAACGAGGGTCTTGTGCCTGATGATGTTTCCCTAAAGATAATTCTGACAGCTTGTAGTCGTGCAGAACTTGTTAAGGAGGGTTTCCGGATCTTCAATCTAATGACAACCAAATACTCTGTCAAGCTATCTCCGGATCATTATGCATGCTTAGTAGACCTTCTTGGAAGATCAGGAAAGCTTCAAGACGCATATGAACTTATAAAGTTGATGCCTGTTGAACCTCATGCCGGTGCCTGGGGTGCACTTCTTGGGGCTTGTAAGCTACACTGTGACATTGAGGTTGGGGAGGAGATATCGCATAGACTTTTTGAACTTGAGCCTCAAAATACGGGTAATTATGTGATTTTGTCAGACATCTATGCTGCGGCAAATAGGTGGTTAGATGTTGCACTGTTGCGTCAAAAGATGAGTGAGAAGGGTCTTAGGAAGATACCTGGTTGCAGCAGTTGGGTATGGAACAATCCTTAAAACTTTTATCCTATTATTATTCGTCTTTATGTCCCTTTTTTTGTTTTTACGGGTTTTCCCCTTCAGTGAAAAATCAATCTTATTGCTTTATGGATGTGTTTCGTATGAAGGAAATCACCCATAATTTAAATTACAATTTCATTAGCAGTACAACCATTGTTGAACAAGCGATATTGCATCAACAAAGACTTAGACGTAGACGTTGGCTGCATGTCATTTGCTCAACAATGGTTTTGCTGTTGAGAAAACACTCTGCCTTGACACTTCTCTTGCTTATTGCTCCAACTTGTAAAAAGGAGATGTCTTTGCTAACAATTAGACTTTCTGCAGGAGACAAATGATGGAATATTTTCCTTAATTAGGTGAAAAGTGACAAGGTTTGAGTGACATTCTTTATTAGTATATGCATTTTGAAAAGTTGGGAATCAACTGATTGCTCTGCAGAAGGAAAGGATAGTTGACATTTCTGAATGGAACCCATCTCCCAATTACTTCTCTTTTGCTATGTCCTTTCGTCCCCAACATCAACACTCCTCCATTACCAGGTTTCTTGATTCTACCTCTTCTGTCCTTCAGTTTTTTATGTAAAGTTTTCATCTTTAGCTTTATCACACACTTCTTTCTTTCTTTCTTGTTTGCATAAAGGGTCCATATCTTTTTTTATGAAAATGCAAGAAATTTATGTTTATCATATAAAGTTTTAATCTTTAAGTTTATTCTATACTACTTTGGTTCTTGATTGCACAAATTGTATATAGAATTTATATGAAATGCTAAAAGATTGTGTATAACATGTAAGGTTTAATCTTTTAGTTAATTGTATACCATTTGGTTCTTGATTGCATAAAGTTTTCAAGGGTCTTATGTTTTGTTTGAAGTGCTAAATTGATGTACAGCAACAACATACCCTATGGTATCCCACAGAGTGGTATTTGGAGAGGGTAGAGAGTACGCAGACCTTACATCTACCACAGAGAGGTTGTTTCCGATAGACCCTCGGCTCAAGACAAAAACAATTTAGGAAAAGACGTAATGGAAGTACAAGAGACAATAGAAAATAACAAAAACAACAGATAGTAGTAGAATAGTACTACAACAATAATCCTATAATCGAATTACAATTAATGCGTTTCAAGTAAAATGATTTTTAATTTTTATCTGTACTTTTTCCTTCTTGATTGCATAAAGCTGTCTATGGAAGTAAATTGTGAGTTTGTACTTTGTTATACTTGCCTTAATTTTGAATGTGAATATGCACTTTGTATTTCAAGTAAAAGTTTTCATCTGTAGGTTTACTCTAGAATTCTTTAATTTCTCTATTGCTAAAAGGTGTCTACCAAAGCAATATTTTGAATATGCACTTTGTTTTTCCTTGCTTAAGTATATATGGGTGTTTAAAAAAGCTTGTTGAGGAATTTGGTTATCAAGATTACCCCTTTGTAGAAAGTTGAGCGGATTTGTCACTCGTTGATTAGGTTCTTTAAAATGGAAGATCGAAAACGGGCTCTTGTGAGCAGATTGTTGCAGTATGCACTGATACATCAAGTCTTGGGGATCCCATATAGCAAAATTGTCATCAGGCGCACTGCTGAGGGGAAACCATACCTGTTATATTTAGAACGTAGTCAGGTACAATGCTGAAAATGCACTAGCTTTTGGTTCTCATTTTTTGTTGAAATTATGTTTTTCATGTTTGCTCGTTGAAGTACCTTATCAGAAGTGTCTTTTATCGATAACTATCTGGATTCTTGCATTCTTCCAAGTGTTTCCTGTAGAGTCAAAGATTAGAGGTGTAAAATGACTCGTCCTTGGATGGAATTTCGCTATAATTATTTGCAGTAGCCTTATACTAGAAATATGTTCTATAAAGGTTTATTATCTACTAGACAACTTGCACAAGACAAATACTTGGAATATGACATGAAAAACATGATGTTAACCCCTTTTTCCGGATGGTATATACGAAATTTCCTGCTGTTCTCAATTGATGAATTAGTTTCTCACCAGTGTCAAACACATACTTTCCGTAATATCTGTCGAATAGTTTTTTCTCTTCATTTTGGTCCTGCTTCATCATCCATGAAGAAAGTTGTCTCTCGGCCAAGTCCTGCTCTTCTCTCCTATTTGAACACCACTTATTTATCAATGAGGAAGTACTCAAGTGATGAATATTGGATGTAAGAATTTAATATGTACTGGTTTCTTCTTATACATCTTTTTCCCCTTGTATTAGTGGATGCAGCTGTCGTTTCCCATATCCAAATAAACCAACTTATCCAAAGTAGACTCCGTAAAATCCATGAAGATTAGATAATTGCAACTTTCAAGAACTTACATCTGTTATTTTGATCATATCATACATGGTTTACCAGCATTTACATAACTCGTCTTCGGAAAATTCTCCCAATTACTGATGCTTTCTCATATTTTTCATGTTTACAAAATCGATAAAGATTCAGTTTCAGAATCACATATTCTGATTCAGCTGAAAAGATTCTCATTATATATGTTTGAAATTACATTCTTGATGCCAGAGTAACATTGATTGTTTAATTTTGAGTATGTTCTTCATGCTACCTGCTTTGCTGTTGCTTGCAGTCGATATCTTCACATTTGCAATATTGTTAATCCTATCCTCTTCTAGGAATGTGACAAACTGAACTTGGAGTTGCCAAATTTTAACTTCAGTGCATCACATCATGGTGATTTTGTGGCTATTGCTTCTGAACCAATATGCCTTGTAGGGATTGGATGTTGCTTCTCAAACCATCCCTGAGAAAGAATCAGTGAAAGAATTCATTCAGAGCTTCTCATCATATTTCTCAAGGCTGGAATGGTTTAATATAATTAATGCTGGCTCTTCTCATCAGATTTTGAGTGAGTTTTATAGGTACCTCTCTATTTATAGATCTTATCTAATGCTTTGTAAACGCCACTACTGAAAGTATTTTATTCTTGATTAACCTCAAACTCGTACAACTATGCGATTTTCAAAGTGTTCTTCCATGTTCGAGTTAGAGATCACAGAGAGAGTACTATGTATAACTTGTTTTCTCTTCCATTACTCGTTAGAGTTTGGTGTTTCATTTATGGATAAACCTTGGCTGAATAGATATTCTTTTTTAGAACATTATTGACAAGTTACATAAAGAGAACTTCTCTAAAAGATCTGCTCTTGTATCTGTTTCTGGCATAATTTGAGCTGCACTTAATGTATAATTGGTCTACTGATGATTTAATCTTATTCACACCGAGTGAATTCAGTAGTGTGTATAACTCATCAAATGTGTGCGTTCAGGCACGTCGGAGGTGTAATGGAGTTCACAATAATAGTGTACATTTACTTTGTGCTCAAAGTTTCAATATCCTGCTCTCAACATCTGCATAGAGCTATTCTACCGATTTGTGCAAGCATGTTCCTACAGATTATTCTGCCGATTAATCATAATTTATTACCTTTAGAACTTGCCTATCTTCAGCTTAATAACTGGTGCACCCTCTGTGAAATGTCTTAAAGAAAAGTAAACCATCTTCAAAATTTCTCAAAAGTAAAAGTAAACCATATGTGAGATTTATCGAAGAAAAAGTAAACCATACTTTAAATTTCTTCTGTCACGTGCCGTTGATTTCCAAAATAACCTTGCTTGTACAGACAATAAAGGAAAATTTGACGAGTTGATTGAGGAAAAGGGAGTGAAGATACTGATTGATCCAAAGGCACTTATGCATGTCATAGGTACCGAGATGGATTTTGCTGATGATAAACTCAGGTATGAGATGGCATTTCTGCTTTATATTGTACTAGTATAATTATAGACTTATGGTCATATGTCATTTATTCATGGTGCTACTGTTGCATTTGTAATCTTTTTCTTATGGTCACTCTTATAAGCTTATTCTTAGAGCTTTCAAATCACAGGATTCAGTACCACTCTAAGTATAAGCTAAGATTAAACCAAGTTTAACTTTCAAGTTTTTCCAGTACCGTCTCATGTCATGACATTAAGTATCTCTATGAACTAATATCAAAGCAAGTTAATTTTTTTAGTTTCTCAGTATGATTATGACATAACTTTGATGTTTAATAGGCTGAAGTGAGCTGCAGTCTTTTCTTCTTTCCCTGCAGAGATGAGCTTCTTTTTGTTATTCTGCTGAATCTTTCAGTTGCTTTTAAATTAACTTGACTTAGAATTAGGATTTTGCCCAGATGACCTTTGCGACTTGTGTTGTAACTTTCTCTAGATTAGCCTATCATGTACTTTTAGGACTCCACCTTAAGGAAAAATAAGGTGTAGCAGAATAGCAATTACATTACTGATTCTCTTTTGCTTGTCATGTCTAGCTATAGTACAGTCTCTTCCATGTCATATGAAGTCTCATTCTCTTAATACAAATATTACAGCGCACCCTCTTTACTTTCTCTCGTCTCATTGTCTGTGATTCCTATGGATGAGTATAAGAAAATATTCTTTCAAATTATACAGACTTTACCCTGATTCATGTCTATCCTTTTTTCTGTGAATTACCACCCTTGTTTCCCCCAAACGAACTTTTGTGATGGTGTCTAGAACCGTTGATTGGATAGTGGCTGGCCACATTATGGCCTCCTTGCGTCTCCATTTTGATACCCCTAGCCTAGCAACATATGTTTTCTCTTTTATTGCCATGGCAGATTAAATGCTCTCGATCCTATCACTTTGTTGCCATGCTATTTAGAATGAGAGGCATATGAACTTCATATACTGATTAACGAGATTGAGTCAAAGATGTAGTTTTTCCTGTTCGATTCATTGTTATCTTTGTCCTTGTGAAACTGATCCACCATGCTTTACTGCGTGAATTCTAGTAGCACTAACTTGCATCATCCATTTGCACTCCAATATATTGCTATTCATTAACCTGGTTTGTTATATGTGTCTCATAAGCATCAAAACTGAAATATTTGATTTCATGAACAGATCTGAGTTCATATTTGTCAATCCAAATGCAACTGGACAATGTGGTTGTGGAGAATCTTTCATGACAACAACTAGCTCAGAAGCTGCTAAGCTGCGTGGCAAATCTAGCTGATAGCTTACTATATACTCATTATGTACGCTAGTCGTTATATATATATACATTTAGAAGTTTGAGTATATACTATATAATCGATCTGTAGTAACAAATCAACGATGTTAACGGTCAGAAACAGAAGGTTTTGTTATTTTTTCTCCTTTTTGCCCAAATCTTATGTACATTAGTTGTTGTAAAGAATAAGATTTTCTTTGCCATGGAAAGGTGAAAGTAGAACAATGAAAATCGAACTCACACTTATTACGTTGAAGACTCTCACTTGTACCATTAGACTATACGTTTGACATTTGATTAGTGACTGGTAGTTCAGAATTGATATAAAAGGTACATTACACCATAATAAACCATGAAACTGATATAGATGATGAATATATATATACCTTATTACCGTTTACATTTTTTTCAAATGAGATGGTCACACAAAATCAACTAGTTTTTTCTGACCGAACTGGATTCTCCTCTTGAGACTTTTTGGACTCAAATTTTAAAATCACTTTCTGCATGGCTGCTTTGAATCTTTTCACCCTTTGCTTGTCATGATCATCTGCTAACTCATTATTCTTCTGAGTAGTGTTGCCACTTGACAATTCATCTTCTTGGCTTGCATGGAATTTGTGTAACTTCACATACTTCATGATGTTTTCCACAAAGTTCTTGAAAGTTGAATGAACTTGTAATAAAAAAGTGAAGTTATTTATAGTATGTGAAGACTCAAAAATTGGACATAAAAAGACGAAAGAAATTACAATTTTATGCTAAATGAGAAAAGAGCAAAGGATTTTGTTGGTGGTTGGTTGTGTCTTTCATGACGATTGATATATTGATCCAAACAAAAGATGTCATATTGCCGTGATGGGAAGAATGTTGGTTTGTTCAACTATGTAAAAGGTAAAGACAAATTATTATTTGTTTTTAAAAATAATTTGGGGGCAGGGAGGGGAATACAAGGGTGGAGGAATCGAATGAGTGGGAGTCAAATGAGAAGGGACAACAGAGTGGGGAATCAAACTTTCACCAGCAAACACGAGACATAGTTAGCTAGTACTTGTATATGTAGAATTGTGCATGAGTCAAACTGGATCGAATTTGAGATTGTCGATTTTATATTTTGATTTTTGGATCTTGTGAAATGTACTCGAAATCCCATCCAAACTTATAAGTTTGATTTGGATTGTTTTAACTATTTTTATTTTGAGCTTATAAGATAAGTTGATTCTTCTTGCTACAAGAAAATGTTGTTGGTTCTGCTCATCCGTTTTGGCCACCTAATTAAAGACTGCAAAGCCAAAGAATTGGTAGGCAAATTAATTGTAGATTATGTGAAAGAGACCCTCACACAATCCTATTAGTCAATTAACAAGGTTTTGCTTTCGTAATTTCTTTTTAATTTTAAATTATTACCTACTGAATACAAAAAAAATATCATTTTTGTGAGACTAACTTTAGAAAAAAGAAAAAAAAGAAAAAGGAAGTATCATGTAAATTAGGATTAAAAAATAAATACTCAAACTCCATAATTGATGCCCCATCAAATAATGGAAAGAATATTTCCTTCTTTTGCTAGAGAGAATTGATAATGGAAATAATTCGCTTAAGACATACTTAAATTGATTTGTATCATATCATGTAATACATCGTTTATGTATTATGACTTTTAATATACTTGAATTGATTTATATTATATCATGTAAGACAGAGTTTATACGACTTTCAATAGAGATATACCTTAAAATCTTTATCATAACTTGTAAACAATTAAAAGTTATATATACAACTTATTTTTTAGAAGGCACTTACTAAAATATCTTATAGGGAAAAGGTTCAAATATGCCATCGAACTTTCAGAAAA